TTTTGATGCTGAAATCTTCACGACAACAGGAAGTTTGGAAGCATTTCGCTTGGCGCGCTGGGCGGACGCGCGCATGTGGCCCGCATGGTATGTTTTGGTAGGGATTCGCACCACAAGCTCACCTTCGATCAACGAATGTGCACCGCATGGTATTCATTGACAGGGATGAGAGGGGGGGGCGGATACGGGCTCGCCTGGGATGGTGTGAGTTCAGATGGAAACTGAGCAGGGAGGCGTCATCATATGTGAATTACAATACCTGAGGCCGAGTTGATAAACCCGGGGTGGTGGTGGGTGGAGCATTTAATTTCTTTCACGTAAGGAACATTAATGTAGTGCAGTCGGTGTGTTGCAATGTATGGGATACAATGCATGCGTGGTGAATGCGGTGCAAGCTACGGGGTGCAACATGTGTATACACACGTGTGTTTAATCTTTACATATAGGTATTCGTCTGGAAAAAGTGGTGCAACGTGTAAATATACACACCAGATTTGTTCATACATACGTATACACATGACAAGTGCATGTACAAGTTTACGGGGCACAAATCTCGTGGCAAAGCTTCTCTAGTGCAACATCGGTGGCGCAACATGTGCGATGCAACCTATGTGGTGCAAGCGACGCCGTGTGATCATTTTTGGCATCCGCGCGTGACCACGTCCCATGCTCGAGCAATCATCTTACCCACACACCACCCGCAGCTTGTCGGCAAACTTCCAGACGCGCTAACCCTTTTCATGTTGATCCATGGCTCGGGCGGACGAGTGATGATGGTAACGGCGACACGGGCGACGACGTCGACGGTGGTGACTGCGACACGGGCGACGACGTCGACGACGCCGACGGTGATAATGAATAGGATAATGATGATGAAGATGATGATGATGATGATGATGATGATGATGATGATGATGATGATGATGATGATGATGATGATGATGATGATGATGATTATGATGATGATGATGATGATGATGATGGTGACTCTGATGATGCTGTTGGTGGCGATGACGATGGGTGCGAAATGAACGACGGTTAATGATGACGACGATGGTGATGAAGATGATGAAGATGATGATGATGATGATGATGATGATGAAGATGATGATGAGGATGACGATGACAATGATGACGCTGGCGATGCTGATGACGACTGCGCTGATGAGAATGCTGACGACATGCGCCCGCACAGAGTCTGTCATCGTCTTGTTATTGAAGGACTGTTGGCTTTACGTGTTGTGAACATGTGTATCTTGACGTGCTGATCGCACTCCTGGTCTTGCAATGACCTCGACATGCTTTAGTGGGGACGCGCGCGCGTGGGGCCCTCATGGTCTACCTCGACAGAGTTGGCAGGCGCGCGATCGTTGTTTAGGCATTTCGATCTGCGCGCGCGCGTGGCCTGCACTGTCTCATTCGAGTGTGTGGCACAACCTCGATGGAACTCTGACGGTTCCAGGGAGTGCGCGCCTACCACGGTCTGGCGTTGCGCGCCTACAGCGGTTAGTCGTTTCGAATGGAAAAACAAAGCACGGTTTTAATGCGACAACAAGGAGAAACCAAGCACAGGCTTTACTGTAAAAACAATGCATGACTTGATTTTGAAACTCACTGTATGGGACGGTTTTTGACGCGCGCGAGCGTGTGGCCCAGCAGGTGTTATATGATACGTGCTCACTGGGCATGCGCTTGTAAGTTCGAGTTTTCCGAGTAATAGTACTTGACAAGGATGAGGGGGGTCGAACAGTGGCCTGGCTGTGATGGCGTTGTTTGATATTCAGAACGACCAACATCAATACGACATCATATTCGCGGAGGTGGAGGGCAGTAAGGCCTGCGTCGGCATGGTGGTAAAGTTTAGCGTTCTTTTGAGCAGACCGTGTATGTGGCTCCATGTATGCGGTGTCGTTTCCGCTTGGAAAAAATGTATGCGGTGTAGCTTGATAGGGTGCACGGGTTCTGATGCAGTGCAGTTGGTGCAAGCTATGTGGTGCAAGCTACTCGCATATCGCACAGCATTGCAGTCAGTAGTGTGTCACATGTATACTTGTGGACTTCATGCCTTAGCCATTTCATTAAAGAGCTGTCCTGAAGATGCCCCGGAGGCCGAAAGCTAGACAGAGCCACTGAAAGAAGGCACGGGCTTGAGAGCGCCATACGAATCAGATGCAATCTACATTGTGCAATCCATTTGGTGCAAGCTGTGCGTACATCCTGAAGTGCGAGCCAGCGTACGGGTGCCCCGCGAGGCGCCCATCTGGGCGCCCGTTGGGCCAGCACCCAACACCGCCAGACCATTGCTGAGGACAGGGGCCCCGTGTGTTGGGAACAAGACGATGTTATGTCCTCGATCGGCGGCAACTGCGACGATGGCGTCAGCGACGACGGCGACGACCACGGCCACAACGGCCACGATGGCGACGACGACGACGGCGAAGACCACGACGACGATGGCGACGATCTCGGCTTCGACGACGACGACGACCGCCGGGAGCAGGCGCGGTGTCAGTCGCCGGCGCCCTGGCTGGGCTCCGCCGCCGCCGCGCGCGCCTGCCCGCCAGCGGTCCTGGGGCGGCGTTGCGCGCGACCGCGGTGGTTTTGTCGTCGCCGTCGTCAACGCTGCCACCGCCGCCATCGTCGCCGTCGCCGCCGTCTCTGTCGTCGCACTCGTTGTCGCAATCGTTGTCGCACTCGTCGTCGTCGTCGTCGTCGTCGTTGTTGTTGTTGTAGTCGTCGTCGTCGTCGTCTCCGTCTTCGTCGTCGCCGACTTCGTCGCCGTCCTCTTCATCGTCGTCGTCGTCGTCGTCGTCGTCGTCGCCGCCGTCCTCGTCGTCGTCGTCGTCGGCTTCGTCGTCGTCGTCGAAGCCGAGGTTGTCGCCGTCGTCGTAGTCGTCGTCGCCGTCGTCGTGGTCGCCATCGTCGCCGTTGTCGCCGTCGTCGTCGCCGTCGTCGCTGTCGTTGTGGTTGTCGTTGTCGTCGTCGTCGTCGTCGTCGTCGTCGTCGTCGCCGTTGCCGCCGATTGAGGTTCTGGGGTAGCTTTTTTGGTTGATCATTCTCTGCCCTGTTTGGGCATCTGGGGGCCTCCGGAGGACTCTGAAGGTTTCCATGGGACTTCGGAGACCCAGCAGGGCACCTCCGGGTACCACCATGGACCTTTTGGGGACCGCGGAGACGTCTGGAGGGTCGTCGTTGTGGCCGTCGTCGCCGTCGTCGTCGTCGTCGTCGCCGTCGTCGTCGTCGTCGTCGTCGTCGTCGTCGTCGTCGTCGTCGTCGTCGTCGCCGTCGTCGTCGTCGTCGTCGTCGTCGTCGTCGTCGTCGTCGTCGTCATCGCTGCCGCCGTTGTCGTCGTCGTCGCCGTGGTAGTTGTCGTCGCTGCCGCCGCCTCCGTCGCTGTTGCCGTTCGCGCCTTCGCGGATCGAGATTGGAGGATCCAGCTTTTTCGGCGTTCCTGGGGCTTCCTCGGGCGTCCTGGCGGGGTGTGGCTCTGTGGGGACGAGCCCCTGTGGAGCGAGCAGGGGGGTGGCAGCCGCCCGTGCCTGTCTTGCCGTAAGCGCCTGGCCTCATGCCCCTTCTGGCTCCTCTTGTCCGCCGCCTGGCATGGAGCTACAGTCGAAACGCTGTCGTAAGGAACCCCAGATGAGGAACGAGGCCCATTTTTCTCCATGAGTGGAACTTCGATTTCCCGTAGAAGACCTAAGGACAACCTAAGACAAGGCAAAACAACAACTAGGGAACACTGAGCCCCTCCCCAACGAAAAGGGTTGCTGCTTCAGCGGCCCGACTGTACTTCATAACCATGCGGCGCCCAGTGCCCGAGACTCGGTGTTTATTTGCTTTGCTTGGGCGTTGCAGTCCAGAGAGGACACTGCGTGCGGCACGGAGCTTCCTCCTCCTCCTCCCCATCTTCTTTCGTACATGAGCGGGAGGGGAGGCAGCGGCGGTTGCAAAAGAAACGACATGGGCTGTGGCACCAGTTGCGCCGGCAGCAGCAGCAGCAGCCGCGGCAGGTGTCATAGCTGCAGTCATCGCCACTGGGGCGTAGTACCGCACTGTCAGGTGGAGATGGAGTCGAAGACTGATCTTGCGCCGTGGGAGATAGACGAGGATAGGGAGCAGGGGAGGAAGGGCAACGGGATGATGCGGGGACGAAATGTACAATAGTGAATTGATTTGCTCGTCTATGAAGCCTGTCGTAATTCGTAGTCCTTGGTGGAGATCGTGTCAGTGCTTGTATTATCGCTAATATTATGGACAAACCGAAATGTCAATCTGTCTCTCACGTCCTCTATGCCCATCATCACACATCTTGCTATTGTTGAAGCATCGGTCGTTTTCTGCCACCACGACTCGCTCAATGGGTCCACTGGTGGCTGAGCCTCGGTGCGATCACACTTGGTAGCATCGTGATCACTGTCTCTGTTGCAGCTGCGTCGACTTTGTATGTTCTCTCACGCGCGCGTGTCTCTGTTCCCCTGCACCTCCCCCCCTCCTCCCAAGATCTCCGCCATCGGGTCTTCTTCCACGACGTGGGCCCCTTCGGAGGTCTCGTCCTGATCCCTGGGGCCGCTTCTTCGCCTCGAGTAGTCTTGTGATTGCTTCAGTGCCCGAAGACGGCCTCCAGAGGCTGATATTCCAGGAACGCGTTTCGTGTGTATTGTTTTTCTTGCTGTTTTTTTTGTTTCCCCTCCCTTCTCCCCCCTTCCGTCCTCCCTAAACCGACGTCCTGAGGTCTGAGTCTGCCTGACCTGTCCCAGGCCAGGTCCCAGTGCGGTGCGACGAGTACCCCCCCAGGAGCTCCTTAAAAAGGCAAAGGAGTGCCTTAGGTCGCTCCTCGTCGCCGGGTCCCGTCGCGTCCTTCGGCGGCATCTTCACGGTTGAGTCGGGCCTGTCCCTCTACAGGAGGGATATTCAAAAATAGTCTAAAAATAGTCTGGGGACGATTTTCGACTATTTTTGATAATTTTCGGAGTATTTTTTTGCCATTTTTTTTTGTCGCCCCGAATCTGCCTGTAGGAGGACATGCCCGACCTAACCTTAGAAAGGCAAAGGACCGCCTTAGGTCGCTCCTCTTCGCCAGGTCCGGTCGCGTCTTTCGGCGGCATCTTTGCGGGGATGGTCGGCTCAGCTGGGAACGCATCGGCCCCCGATCGCCCATTCGTCGCCGATGGTGTCCCGACGGCCCCACCCCGCCCGGGAGCGTGCGGGCTCGCTGTCGGGGACCCATCGCCGAGATATCGGCGACGCATCTCCGATTCCTGCTCGGTGCTTTCCCTCCCGAGCTGGTCCCGCCCCTCAGTCCTGGCTCATGGGGAGGCCCGGGAGGAGAGGCGGGACCGCCACACTGGCAGGGCGTGAGCAGGGCGTGGCCGCCTTCAGAAAGCAGGGCGCGCCTCTCACGGGCGAGAGGGCGTAGAGTCGACCCGCACAGGAAGGATGAGCAGCTTTCCAAGGTTGCCCTCGCATCCTTCTCATGGCGCCAACATCACAGAGCGGATTTCGTTCGGAAAACGATAGGGTGGGCCCAGAGAGTCTTGGAGAATTCCGTTCTGGATTTCGAGGTGTATTTCGTGCGGATTTTTGTTTGGCCAGGGATGAAGACCAAAAAGAAATCCGCGCGAAATTCACTTCGTTTTTCGCCGCTCGCCGCTTTGGGCAGACATCCACGCAGATATCCACGCAGAAATCCGCTGCAGCACGTCTGCAAGGCCAGTGCAATGATCCTTCTCCTTCGGCCCATCCTTGGCCGCCTTCCCTGGCCGCGCCCCGCCCCAAACGTGTCGGCATGGCCTTTTTTAAGGCTCTCGCATCCTTGTCGTGCGTCTTTATTTCAGGAGGGGAAGAAACACACAGACACAATTAATCGTCGATCCCCTGGAAAATATAAGAAAATATGGGAAGTGGGGGGAAGACAAAAACCCAGAAAACATAGGAAACTCTGGGGAATCCTGCTATTTGTGTGTATTTATTTGTGTGTCCCAGGGCCCCTTCATTCTTGTGCGGGTTGACTACGCGGGGCATGCCGTGAGCAGGAGCACCGCCTCCAGCGGTGGCGTTCTGTCCTCGCGCCGCGTGACGGGCCCGAGTGGCCGATGGCAGGCGTTGCCCTGCCCTAGGGGGTGCTGCTCTCCGCGCCCGCGCCCAGGCCGCTGGTGAAACGGACCGCCGGGGCCGGTCCGCCCTCCATGCGTTGTGCACCCGTCGGGGGTTCCGAGCTGCGAGGCGAGGCGTGGGGCGTTCCAGAAATGGCCTTGCCCTCGAGGATCGAAGGAGTTGGCGTCTCTTCTGCGGCGGAAGGTCGGCGGAAGGCGGCGGAAGTAAAACGGCGGCGGCTTCGCCCGCGGAAGCCAGCGGAAGCTCGGAGGAAGCCGGCGGAAGGAACAAGTCGACCTCCCGAGAGGGGACACTATTCTTTTGCTTTCAGGGTCTCCAGACCTGGCCACGTGGAGCCCCAGAGGTTCCGACACGCATCCCCGGGCCAGTCTCTCAGTCCGAGCCGCTCCGTCCGACGGCACCACCGGCATAGCGAGGGTCCCCGGAGGCCGACCCAGTGGCCAGAAGCCCCCCGGCGTGATCCTGGCGACGGCGCGAGAGCGGGCCTCCCCCTCGTGCCGCGGCACCTGGCCGGCGAGGAGACCGAGGAGGAGAGGCAGAACCGCTACAAGCGGGAGGCGGAGGAGATGAAGTTCAAGTGGGACGCGCGCCGGTTAGAGGAGACCCAGTCCGCCGAGAGGCGGCAGCGCCGCCGCGCTCCTGCCTCTGGCGCCCTCGGGAGGTGGGACGGGGCCCGCGCGACGACGACGACCCTCACGGGTCGACCTGGCTCGCGGGCTGTCGCTGAAAGGTGGCGTCGATGGCTCCAGTCCTGTCTTTTCGCGATTCGCGACGTCTGCTTCCAGTGGTCTTGTTTCCCAAGCAGTGCTGGCATTTAGGCGTTCTTGTTTCGCTTCATTGGGTAATCGGTTGGGTATGCAGGGTTTTCGCCATGTTGCCGCCTTTGCCGCCTCGTGGGCGCCCCGCGCTTGGGGGTTATGTTGGATTTTCGCTACGTTGCCGCCTGTTCCGCCTCGTGGGCGCCTCGTGGGCGTCCCGCGCTTGGGGGGTATGCCGAGGTTTTCGCCAGGTTGCCGACCGTGCCGCCTCTTGGGCGCCTCGTGGGCGCCCCGCACTCGGGGGGTGTGCCGAGGTCTTCCCACGTTGCCGCCCTTACAGGACATACCTTCCACCACATAGCTTACACCACATGGCTTGCACCATTCACCCCGCATAGCTTACACAACACAGCTTACATCGCATAGCTTCCGCCCGTAGCTACCACCTCCAGCTTACGCTGCATATATTGCACGACATAGCTCACACCACATAGCTCACACCGCATAGCTTTCATTCATATAGCTCACACCGCATAGCTTACATGCTTTCACCCACATCTTACACCGCATGGGCTTCACCTTCACTTCCACTTTGAACCTCTCCACTTCCACTTCCACCTCTCCACCTATCGACTTCCAGCCACCACCAACCCAGTCACCTATCGACTTCCAGCCTTCACCAGTCCAGCATTCCGACCTGCAACCTCAACCATCCGACTTATCACCATCACCATTTTCACCTATCGACCTCCAGCCTCCAGCTGCCCAGCATTCCGACCGCCAGCGCCCAACACTCGACCTCCCGCCATTACCATCTCCACCTATCGACCTCCAGCCTCCGACGGCACAGCATTCAGACCTCCAACGTCCAACAGTCGACCTCCCACCACCACCATCTTCACCTATCGACCTCCAACCTCCGACGGCCCAGCATTTCGACCTCCAGCGTCCATCATGTGACTTCCCACCACCAGCATCTCCACCTATCGACCTCCAGGCTCCGACGGCCCAGCATTCCGACCTCCAGCATCCACCATTCGACCTCCCACCACCACCATCCCCACTTATTGACCTCCAGGGTCCGACGGCCCAGCATTCCGACCTCCAGCGGCCAACATTCGACCTCCCACCACCACCATCCACACCTAGCGACCTCCAGCCTTCGACGGCCCAGCATTCCGACCTCCAACATTCAACACTCGACGTCCCACCACCACCATCTCCGACTATCGACCTCCAGGCTCCGGCGGCCCAGCATTCCGACATTCAGCCTCCAACGTTCGACCTCCCACCACCACCATCTTCACCTATCGACCTCCAGCTCCCGACAGCCCAGCATACCGACCTCCAGCAATCAACGTTCGACCTCCCACGACCACCATCTCCACCTATCGACGTCCAGCCACCACCAATGCAACATACCGGCCTCCGGCCGACACCACCCCGCTTCACGCCATCACCACCTCCACCGATCGATCTCCAACCTGCCACTGCCACCATCGACCAACCCCACCGTTCACTACCAGACAGCAGCAACAATAGCACAAGTGAGCAGCAACACCAGCCCAACTTGAGAAGCACTGGAGGAGGACGAGGCAAATACAATACAGTCGACGGCGAGGTCCCCGTCAGCACACACCGAAACCACCCGCGAGAGAGCGACGACAATGGTAAGCACGACCAGCGCACTCCAACACCGTATCCATCGTCAACTCAGTTATTCACCATGATACACAAAAACGCACGAAGCCTCACAAGCGATGACTCGATAGATGCACTGTTGCACGAATTGGACGGCGTACAATGGGATGTACTTACCATCAACGAGACATGGAGAAAGGAATCTCGTGAAATGTGGATCACAAAACGCGGGAAACACTTATTCACAGCATCGGGTCATATGGATGCGTCACGTGGAGTCGCATTTCTTGTTCATCGGCGACACGTCCAACAGGTCAAACGCTTCGAAGCCATCAACGAGCGAATCGCTTACATCGACGTCAACTTCCCCAAACAGCACATCAGAATCGTGACGGCATCTTTCCCCCACTCCGGCTACGCGGACATTCACATACAGCATATGTACGACCATTTGGGGGCGATTCACGACGACGCCGTGCAATCCAAGTGGACATGTGTTATTGCTGGAGATTTCAATGCGCAAGTGGGCAGACAGCCTGCCAATATACATGATGACGAGAGGGCCGGCGACGACGAAAGAGCAGATCACATGAGCCAGAGACATACTGTTGGCAAATTTGGCTTGGGCTTGTGCAGCCCAAGAGGGACATGGCTCCGTGCATGGTCTAACACACGGAAAATGATACTTGCAAACACGTTTTTCTACAAGCACTACCACAACTTGTTCACCTACACAAGCAGTGGCAAACACCCGACACAGACACACATTGACTACATTTTGATAGACAGAGCACGACGATACCAAGTGGTCGACTCGTACGCCTCCAACTTTCCAGACCTCGGATCCGATCACCAAGCTGTGCACGTCAAGATGGACCTTGAGGCCACGATAAAAAGAAAGAGGAGACGGAAGCAACCGCACCGCGGCACGCGATCCCATCCCCCAGCCGACGACCCATTCTTCCAGCAACGCTTAAAACAGCATCTAAGCGACCACAACCACGACGCCGACTTGGACAGCAGATACCATGACATTGGAGAAGGGCTCAAGCTTGCAAATAAGGATTACCAGAGACACCAAGAGCAACCAGCCGGATACCTTCAAGGATACGCCAACGATGGGCCGACAGCACGGCTCAAGGCACTCATCCAACAAAGACGCGCAACCGCACCACGAGACACAATTGCACGAAGACCCCTTAGTAAACAAATCTTGCGAAAGACAAGGGCTATTAAGCGTGCCGAGATGAATGTCAAGCTCGAGGAGATTGTCTGCCAATTCAAAAAGGACTGGAGAAAATATCTGGGTTGAAAACCAGCAAGCACAAAGGTATGATCCCATCCATGACGACAGCTGAAGGCATCGACGAGACAGATAGACAAAGCATAGCAGACGTATTTGCGACTTTTTACGAGAACCTGTACAAGGACCCGCACCACGTAGCCAACACTGGCAACACCCACCTGCAGACGCACGCCGACTCGACCATCCCGCCTTTCACAGCAAGCGAGCTCCACCAAGCAATCAAACAACTCAAGAACGACAGGTGCAGCGACACCGCTGGGCTCACGGCAGAGCTGCTCAAAGCAGGAGGCGCCACCTTACAGTGCCACCTACTTCGACTGCGCAGCGACACCATCAAGCCTGATCGCCCCCCGCCAGACCAATGGAAGAACACCACCATCACTGTAATGCACAAGTCTGGTGACCCCAAACTACCAGGCAATTACAGACCAATTGCCATCATCCCTCTGCTATGTAAGCTGATGTCTCGCCTCCTTTGCAACCTGCTCGGCGCCTTGTTCGACTCGCAACAATGCCCGGACCAAGCAGGCTTCCGCAAGAAATATTGCACAGAGGACCATTGGTTCACCACAGCAATGCTTCATGAGAGCTCTTACGAATGGCAGCTGCCGCTCTGGGCTGTCGCAATAGATTTCAAGAAAGCGTTCGACTGTGTTGACCACGACTGTATGTGGGACGCTCTACTACAGCAACATATACCTCCCGCCTACATCACCTTCCTGCGACACTTATATAGCACCCAAACTGGTACAGTTCGGACGGATACCAACAGCAGAACCTTCAATATCGAACGGGGCGTTAAGCAGGGAGACTCGCTGAGCTCTTTCCTTTTCAACGCCGTCCTAGAGCACGTGTTGAGACAAGTGAAACCTGTTTGGGCACGGAAGAAATTCGGGATCCAACTTGGCTTCTGAGCACAGGCGCGGATTACAAATCTGCGTTTCGCCGACGACGTGTTGTTGTACGCCACCAACCTCAGACAACCCACCTGCTCACTTCGAGACGTACAAGCCCACGCAGCTAAATGCGGCCTGTTGCTACATCCGGAAAAGACAAAGACCCTGACAAACATTAGCCGGAGAGAGGGGCGAACAATCACCCATGTCGACATCAACGGCGACAGCATCAGCATCCTACATTCCAGCCGCGGAACGAAGTACTTGGGAAGAAAACTCACTTTTCACGACTTTCATGACACAGAGCTGCACAACAGGATTGCCGCAGGGTGGGCCCGTTTCAATCAGTTTCGTTACGGGTTGACAACAAACGCTTCCCGCCCCATAGTAGGCTGAGGCTGCTCAATGACACTGTCACGCCATCCGTGTTGTACGGCTGCTCATCCTGGACTCTGACGAAGGAGATGTTTCTTATTCTCAGGCGCTCTCAACGGAAAATGCTCAGGCTTGTCACGGGAGTACCGCGGAGACGCAGCGAGCAACGCCAGCACGCGCCCGACACCTCCGACGATGACCACCACCACAACATGACCGACGCCGACACAGCAAACAACCCGAACCACGCAACCAGCAACAGCGACGTGAGGAATGATGACGGAAAGGAACCAGGGGCCGACTACATTCGACGAGCCACGCGCGAAGCCACGGTCCATGCTTCCCGCGCCCAAGTGGAAGAATGGGTTGCCCTATTATATTTCAAACGGAAATGGAAGTGGGCATCCCGTGTGGCGACACATGACTGCGACAGGTGGACTTTCTTAGCTGCTTCATGGGAACCACGCGCACACGACCCTCGCCCAGCGCACCGGCGGCATGGAGGTCAACGAAAGCGATGGGCAGACGACATCATGAATTTCTTACGCGCCAAGGGCGCGTGTGAAGACCGCGACGACCAGGAGCACAACAACCAATGGTTATCAATTGCAACATACCAACTGCTATGGAGGGATCTAGAATATGATTTCATACATTACGCCTACGCCCATTACAACCTATAGGATCTGGAATGCTTCCCCGACTCCAGCTTTACGTGTTCTTCCCACTCTGGTCTTCTCTCCGACTCCTGTTCCGACTCCGGCTCCGACTCCGACTCTTGCCCCCTGACACGTCCTCTGAGGGCTCCGGCCCGCCCGCGCTGCTCCTAAGGGGCCCGCCGGCCGGCCGGCGGACACAGCGCGCCTCGCCTCGCCTCGCCTCACCTTCACAGTACAATGTCGCATTGTTTGGGGTCTACGTTAGCTAACATATGTTTACTTTTGTTTGTTTTGCTTTCCGGTTGTCTTACAGTAGCCGCGCCTCTTCGAGAGTGTTCTAGGGAGCGCAGAATCATCTCGAACGGCTATCTGATGCCCGAACTGTAGCTGGAAAACCAGCTGGACGAGGAGGGTTTCTCTGGACCTCTCAAGGGGGGGGGGCCCGTCGCCACGACTGGGTCCGGCCGGCCTCGAGGACTTGGTCAGAACGCGCCCACGGTCAGTTCTGAGGGGGGCGGCGCAGCCCTTTTGGCATTTCGAAAGAAAGCACACGTCACAGCTGTTACTGACTTCAGCGTCCGTTTGCTTTCGGTCCGGGGATTACCAAAAACGGCGGCGGAGAAAACGATCCCATCCCAGGTTGAGGCCGAGAGCTCCGCGGGCCCACGTCGTGACAACGACACGACGCCAGAAGTCTGGGGCCAGCACGAGGCGAAGGAACGGTGGGTACGGCGCAGCACGTAGATTCGAG